CCCCCCCCCCCCCCACACACACACACCTTTTTCCCAGATCTTTAATGTTGTTATGTCTGCCAGGAATGCTCCCTATTTATATTCATCTTCATATCTTAAATGTTAATTCCTCAGAGAAGCACTCCCTAACTATTGCTTTCCCCTTAACTGTGCTCAGTACCCTCTGCTTCTTTATGGAATTGGCTCTTCAGTGTATCTCCGCATTAGAATATGATGCCCAAGTAGTTAGACTTGTCTTATGGAACACCGTGACCTGGGCACTGTGCCACTGTGCTTACTAGGCACACAATAAACATTTGTGGAATGAATGAATAACTGAAGAAGTCATAGTGGATTGATTGTGTCTAACTGGAATTGGGAAAACTGTAAGGAATCTCAGAAGGTCACGTGGTATATTCCTCGGCCTTCAAGCAATATTGTGCCATACCATTTTGAACTGCTGTGCTGCTGACTTGTCTTAAAATTTTAAGTAAAAAGAAGTTCCAGAGCCTTGGTAACCCAAGCCAGGGCTTTCCAGTTTTCATTAATGGGTGTTATTAACCCAGATAACCTCCTGTTTCCTTTAAGCTGTACTCCCTTTCTGTTACCTGTTTTTCATTGTAAATATTGACATATAAAACTTTTTCTTCTTTACTAGGATCTATCTCTCTGGGTAATTCCCCTAGAAGAGCTGTTCCATTTGCAGCAATGTCTGTAATAGGGACTCTGTATTTCTTATAAGCAGTCTTCTCTAGTTTGATATTTTCCACTAAACAGGGGTCCTCCTTTACAGAAAGTTTTAGTGTGCTCCTCTGTTCCAATTTCCCCCCTTCCCTTATCTGACTCACTTCCTGTGTCTGACAGCAGATTTCCTATCATCCTGGAAAACAAGGTCAATTAAGCAAGCATCCAGTGTTTACTAAAATGTAGTTTGCTAATGTTATTTTAGTTATAATGAGGCTTCTTTTATAAAAAGGGGGAGGACATACATTTATTTCTTCTAGTGGAGGGTTCTTTACTCAGTACTGTGTTCATTTTATTTTTAAGTATATTTTTATTGATTTTAAAGAGGAAGGGAAAGGAAGAGAGATAGAAACATCAGTGATGAGAGAGAATTATTGATTGGCTGCCTCCTTCAGGTCCCCCACTGGGGATTGAGCTGGCAACCTGGGCATATGCCCTTGACCGGAATCGAACCTGGGACCCTTCAGTCTACAGGCTGATGCTCTATCCACTGAGCAACACAGGCTAGGGCAGTACTGTGTTCATTTTAAAAAGTATGAATGCAAGGGTGTCCAAAGGAGAAATCTGTGTGATCATTACTGGAAAGTGAATCACACCTAGAGACCTTTTCTTCCTGAAAATCACACATTCCCATTGTGTGGTCTTTGATAGTAAGTCATTTATGAGTGCTTGCTGAGTGAAAACAGCTTTACCCCATAAATGGGTCAAGACTTAAAATACTCAAAAGAGATTTTATTCCCTGATGTGACCCTGTATGTTAGAGCAAAGAGATGTAGAGAAAGATTGATACTATAAAAGCAGCTGGTGGAAAAATTACTTTTAAACTAGTTTAATGTATCTTTTCTGGAGGTACATCTGAGAGCTACCGCTGGAAACCTGGCAGTTACTCAGAATAACTGCTGAAAGGTGTGCACACGCCGTGTGGTCATTAGGTTTCTGGAATTAGGGACTGTAAGACAATTCATTTTCAGTACAGAAGAAAGCATGGATGGAGTCTGTGTTAGCTACTCTCTTAA